GTGACTTAATAATGACTAGATGTTTTCCCCGTCTGCTGTTAGTGACTTTTTTTTTTTTACTTTTTACTTTTTTTTTACTTTTACTTTTACTTTTTTTTTACTTTTTTACGTTTTTTACTTTCTTACTTTTTTTACTTTTTTTTACTTTTTTACTTTTTTTTTACGTTTTTACTTTTTTTTACCTCTTACTTTTTTTACTTTATACTTTTTAATCTTTGGATAGTTTTGGTTCTGACAGTTACCAGTCCGTGAGAATTTCTTTACTGGGTTGTGTACTGGTAATGCTGCCTTGGCTTTGGCGTCTCATGATGAAAACTTTCAATTGTCGCAAAGATTTTCTCACACGTGATTGTACAAGTCTCAAGAGTCTATTGATAAGTGAGTTAAGCTCCGCACACGACCTCCCTTCTAAAAAAAAAATATATATATATTATGATTGAGTTAGTTCTCACCACAGTAATATATATTATTTTTTTACTTAAGTGTTGAAAGTTAGGTGCAAAGAGTTACACATTGTAGTAAAGACGCGACAGAGTGACTCGGCATCTGTCACTCCGACACCACAAAGTAACTCTGCATCCGTCACTCCGGCACGACAAAGTAACTCGGTATCCGTCACTCCAACACCACAAAGTAACTCTGCATCCGTCACTCTAACACCACAAAGTAACTCTGCATCTGTCACTCCGGCACGACAAAGTAACTCGGTATCCGTCACTCCGACACCACAATGTAACTCTGCATCCGTCACTCCGACACCACAAAGTAACTCTGCATCCGTCACTCCGACCTATACTATAAACAAAACTTACCTGAAAAGAAATCTGAACTGTTGAACGGTGTTGTGAGGTGCCTGGAGCCCTGCATCTGACCTACTGTGTGTTATGATGAGGGAGGAGAGACTTACTGAGAGTGAGAGAGAGAGAGAGAGAGAGAGAGTGGTGGAGCGGACTTTATATGTTTATTGTGTAGGAGAGGAGAAATGTTTGTGTAAGGATGCTGGAGGGGTCGTGTGTGTGTGTGTGTGTGTGTGTTGTGTTGCAGGCTATGCACAGGGACACCAACCTACAATACTAGGTTACCTCGCTGCCTCCCTGTCGTTACCAAGTTTAATAAATTCGTAAAAAAATAATAATAAAAACAATAAGAGATACAAAAACGAACCAAAAAACAAGCCTCAAAGATTGGATGAAAATTAGAAACAAAAGATAAAGTAATTATAGACGGGGAAGAAACTTATATAGGGGTGAATGCTGATGGAAGAGAATTGAATTCTTTCATTGACTCTATACTCAACCTCAGTCCCTGTAGTTCACTCTCAGGTCACCAGATGGCTCCACTATACTACCCCCAGGACACGAACACATACACAGCCAACAGTAACTATTAATGGAGGATGGAATTCTTACGATTTTTTTTTATTTACACTTGAATATTTTATTAGTTGTCAGTTATATTCACCGTCATTAATTACTTTGACAGGTATATCACAAAGGTATATGATATTGTCAGGTGGGGCCTCAGTTCGTGTGGTCTCCAGTAGATTAACACACCACAAACTTTATTGGTTCATAGACAGTAAATATTAGACACCACAGCTTATTTAACTTAATTATTTAACAACCTAACACTAACCTAACATAACACAACACAACAGAACCTAACCTAACATAACTAAATCTAACTGACTCTACCTGAACACAACGCAACACCTCCAGGTAGCTTTAAGGTGTTTAATCATCAAGGTGAAATAAACTGCGGTGTCTAATCTTCACGTGGTCTAATGTTTTCAGTAGTAACAGGGACACTGAGCACCTGTACACCCCTGAGACTAATCACACGACCACAGCTACACTGGTAGAGATCGATCAATGTGTGTGTCTGAAGGGTCGATGTGGCAGCTATTGAGCTAAACGAGTCACGTGAGGCAGAAAGTGAAACCTTTAGTGTTTGTGTTTTTGTTAATTACTGATTGTGGGCGTTGGTGGCTGATGGGCGGTTGGAGGTGGTTGATGGGCGGTTGGAGGTGGTTGATGGGCGGTTGGAGGTGGTTGATGGGCAGTTAAATGGACGATGGGTGATGTGGGCGACGGGCGGGTAGTAAGTTATTTGATGGTGGGTGGCAACTAGATGGCTGTAAATAACGAACCATCCGATGTGAGGGGCAGGTGGGTGGTAAGTAATTTATATTGAGTGACAGGCGACGAACCAGCTGCATGAAAGTGGTGGATGGGTAGTAAGCTAGGAGTGGGTGGTAAGGTTGGAGTGGGTGGCGGTAAGAGACTGATAACGAGCGGTGGGCCAGGTGGTGTGACGGCGATGGGCGGGATGGCGGGTGGCAGATGGTCGAGGAGGGTGGGGTAAATGGAGCAGTGAACATGGTGGTAAGTGACTTGGTGAAGAGCCTTGTTAGCGAAAGTTAGCAGCTGTTAATGTGGAGGGAAAGTGTCCATTGTTGTGTGTGTGTGTGTGTGTGTGTGATGGATGGGGTGGTGTTTGTTTGTATAAGGTGTTTAACTCTGTGTATACTTATAAATGAGAATAACACACACACACACACACACACACACACAGTCTAGAAAGGTCATTCACCTCTTCATAAGAACCATGGCTAAAGAAAACTCCACAGTACTCAAAGTTGTGACAGCCTCTTTCCCTCTCTCCAATCCTCATGCCCATCCACGAGAGAGAGAGAGAGAGAGAGAGAGAGAGAGAGAGAGAGAGAGAGAGAGATAAAACAGAAATCGAGATACAGACAGACAGACATTTAAAAAACAAAACGATATATAATGCCTTGTAGACGTGTACTTTTATTTTGGTTTCTGAATCTTCAAATTTCACTGGAGACAGATGGAGGTGTGTTGGGGACGGATAAATCACTCTTGATTACAGGTGACAATGTGCCGTGAACACCTGGGTCCTCTCGACAGCAGGTGGGTGGGAGATGTACCGACCCGATTCCTCAAAAGGCTGGGAAACACCGAATTGAAAGTGAAATGTTATGTGTACTTGACTTTATTAGGCTATTAAGAGAGGGATTGTGGTGTTGATGAGGAAGAGTGACTGAAATAAGTTTTAAGAGAACAGAAAGTGTAAATAAAACATAATAAAGGTCACTACCGTACTTAATGTAAACACCAACCTCGAGTCTCCTCCCTCCTTAAAAAAATGACTTTCGTACACACAAGGAAAAGTTGACGAACCTCGGCATACCGTCGTGCAGGTCTTCCCTCCTTCCCCGCGATGAAAGTGAAATCGTATGCTGAAGATACTTATCGTGCCTCAAGTGACTGTCTATTCTATCTCGAGTGTTGAGTGTGTGTGTGTGTGGTTTAATATTTAAATTATTCTTTGTAAACACGCTGAGATCATCACGGGAGGAACTATTTAAACTCGGGGAGGAGGAGGAGGAAGGCCCTTGGTTAGGTGGTGCAGTGGGTGTATGTTAGGTTACTGTAAGGATATGTTTTTGGCTAAGCTAAATTCAATGTTTGGTTAGGTTAGGTTGATTGGCTAGTCCTGGTTATAGGGTAGGCAGCGTTAGAGAAGATTAGGTTAGGTTATGTTAAGTGTATGAGTTTGGTTAGGTTAGTGTTTGAGTTAGGTGGATAAAGAGACGTAAGCAACAGTGAATAATAAATCTCGACTCATCTTTCTGTTTTATGTTATTTTTCTTTATCAGTTATTAGGTCAATTATTTTTTTCCATTCTTTGCTTTATCATCATTTTTTTTCATATTTTTCTTTCACTTATTCCTCTTAAATCTGCTTTTCTCTTATGTTTTTTTCTATTATTGTTCCTCTTTTCTCCTCTTCGTTTTTTCTTGTCTTCTTCGTCACGTCATCTTCGTCTTTACTCCTCCTCTTCTTCAGTATCTTTTTCGTCTCTTCTGTCGTCTCTTCTGTCGTCTCTCTGTCTCCTCTTCGCCTTTTCTCCTTTCCCTCTTCTGTCTTCCTCTTGTCTTTATTCTATCCCCCTTTTTTTATTCTCCTTTTATCCCACATCTTCAGTCCTTCGACAATCCACACTACAATTTCAGTTCCTTGTATTTTCTGTTCCTCGTTCAACTATTTTCTCTTAATTTAGGACCAAAGTCTCAAAACACTCGTAAGTCAAGAGAATTGGTTCACACACGACGTAAATTTTCTTTTCAGGGTCTTACTTCGTTCCTACATATCCAATTCGAGGGAAATGTTACGTAGAAATAGGATTACCTTAAGTTTAATCACTCCCAAGTCCCAGTTTATTTCACCTAAATATTAACAACCCTAATCCTGACCTAAGTTAACCTCTCAGATGGTTTTAAGGTGGTAAATCTTTAGTTGGAATGCGATGGTTAATCTTCAGGTAATTCCACGAATCTCTTAGAAAATCCGGGTCTATCTATCACAGTTGTGTATTCAAGTTATGATTTCTTGTTTATTTATAAGTTGAGATGAGTTTTACGCCCCTTCACTTAAGACTCATGAAACCAGAGTGTTTGTTTGTGACCTACGTGTCCCCTCTATATATAGGTTCACGAGTGGGGTTATTGTTAAAACAGAGCCAGTGGAGGGCGGGGCAAATTTCAGCACGTAAACAAACAATGGCGGAGTGTTTACACTTATCAGGATGGCCAACTGAGATTTCAGGGCAGCCAACCCGTGAACAACATATTTACGAAGATGTTCAGTACAGGAATATAGTTTAGTCGTTGTTTTGTTTGTGAATTATTTTATTTATTTATTTTTTCATCATCCTCTGTGGTAACAAAGATATTATGTCTCTTTAGTTTCGATAAGAGATTGTGTTTCTATTTTACAGTAAAGAATTAAACAAATTTTTAACACCGTTGAGAGTAACACAAACAAATGAAGATCAGAATATACAGGCTTCAGCTATCCATCCAGTGTGGAGTTAAGTAAAGTATGTAAGTAATAAGTGTGTGTGTGTGTGTGTGTGTGTGTGTGTGTGTGTGTTTACTTTATTTGTGAGTATTAACGTAATGTTCTTTTCCGCAGGTATGAGACATTGGCCTTCAGTAGGGCTGCTTGGACTCAGGTAAGCTAGTGAGGTGTACAGATGATGGGGGGGATAAGAAAGGATATGGGAAGACACAAGGAGATGGGGAGATGGGGGAGAAGTATAGGGAAGAGATGGGAAAGAATAAGGAATGGGGGAGGAATGGGAGACAAGGTTGGCACTGACTCATGAAACACACTACAATTTCAACCTTAATGGGGGAGGAGGTTCTATCGTCCTACTCATTAATGGGGTTCTCGGGGACACAATGGGGTCTCAAGGTCTCAATTGTGCTAAAAGAACCTAATGGTGGTTTCTAGGTTTCAAAGGGTTTACTAGACCTGACCTGTGTTCATAATTAATGGGGTTTTCTGGGTATCTGATGAGGTTTGGGGCCTCAAAGGGGTTTCTAGCGCTCAGTATATGCGCCCCGTTGTGGGTAGATGACCTGTGTCCGGGTGGGCTATTCCCCGTAAAAAAAAGTCTTGAAACTAACACTCCTTTGCATGAACCTAAGTAGTTTGTTAGCCTTGTTTCGAACAAATTCGCACTGTTTTCTTGGGATAAGATTCCTACTTATTATTTCCCCTAAATCTTTCTCACAGTCGGATTTCTCTATAACAACGTTGTTCATCTGGTATTTTTTTTCTTTATTTACATCTCCAAGGCTAAGTACTTTACATTTTTCTACATTAAATTTCATCTGCCATTTTCAGACCATGCGGAAAATATGTTAAGATCTTTCGGTAGTTTTGCAGTCCTCGTCAGATTTAATTACACTCCCTATTTTAGTGTCGTCAGCCTATATCTATGTCGTTTATGTATATAATAAATAGTATTGATCCAAGTACTGAGCCTTGAGGTACTCCACTAGTGACGTTACCCCAATCGGATTTAGTGCCATTAATGCTCACTCGCTGTTTCCTGTCCTGTAACCACGCCCTAATCCTTGAGTTTACGCGTTAGTCTTCAGTGAGGGACTCTGTCGAAGGCTTTGCTGAAGTCGAGGTAATCGTGCCCGTCCATCCACTGATTCGAAGACAATTGAAAAGAATGATAATACATTTGTCTGACATGAACATCCACTTGTGAAGCCATGCTGGTAATAAGCTTGTGTTTCTCCCTCCTTGAAAACCGGTATCACATTCGCTATCCTCCAGGGCATACTAAGCTCTTCCTTAGGTTCCTTTTATACTCTGGCAAATATCTCCTCGGGATCTGGGAACCTTTTAGGCTTTAGTTTATCTATTTTTTTTTACTAACATCGTTACTAGTCACTACTATCTCGCTTAATTTATTTTCTTCACTATCTCTTTATATAGTCTGTGACTCGGGTATCATGTTTATATTCTCGGTGGTAAAAACTGTTGAAAAATATCTGTTCAAATTATTGCTAATTTTTCCATTGTTATCAGTTAGCTCGCCGGTATCCGACTGTATTGGTCCAATCTTGTCTCGTGTTTTAGTTTGATACATTTGAAAGAATCCCTTGGGTTTGACTTCGCCTCTCTCTCTCTCTCTCTCTCTCTCTCTCTCACATACCAACCACATTAGGAATAACACCCCCCCAATAACCTACAAACTTATCACAACACGAGCTACTGTATTCTGTCAACAGTGAATATTGCTAGGTTAGGTTAGGTTAGGTTAGGTTAGGTTAGGTTAGGTTAGGTTAGGTTAGGTTAGGTTAGGTTAGCTGGAGGTGAGTGAAGCAGATCTCCCCCAGGCCCGGAGGTAACTTGTTTACGGGACACAGGTAACAGCGGAGAGTGACGTAGAGTAGTTACGCCAGGTGCTCATGTCTGCCCAGGTAACATAACTCGTCAGGGATTAATTAGATTTTATTTCCGTCTTGCACTAAAAGTAAATATTCGTTATTTCTATCTTTGAAAGAAATATATAATGAAAGGAATTAAATATTCTTACTTTGTGTCATGAATAATAAAGAAACTATCCGGAGGAAATGATAATAAATAAAAAAAAACAATAATAAAAATAAATAAGCACCAATAAAAATAACACTCATAATAAAAAAAATATCCCCCGAAAATGGACAAACTCACAACAAAAACAAAACAACAGCAAAAAAATCGAAAGTAGCGGCAATGTCCAAGATAATGTGTTGGTTATGTAAACATTCACCTCGGCCGTGTTAACCAAGCGACAACGCCCACATTTTCCACACAGTTTGTTGTCATAACTCCGCAGTGTCGGTGTTGAAACGGTCATTACGAGGTGTTATTTTCGCAAGTATTCGTTCAGCAAGTTCAAAGGAAGGTTAGTATACCGACGAGATTTGTCACGAGTCATCTATAGAGACACAGACAGACAGACAGACAGACAGACAGACATCGACAATCACAAAGACGCATGTAAATATTCAACACCACGCCATGCCAAATCACCGTCACCAAACCGACTATACAAATGAATGAGAGTAAAGTGAGAGGGAGGAGAGGCAGGAAAGAGGGGGTGAGAGGGAGGAGAGAGGGAGGGGTGAGAGTCAGAATGAGAAGAGGGAAAGGCAGGGAGAATGAGAAGAGCAGAAGAGGGATAGGTGGAGATGAAAGTGAGAAGGGAGAGTGAGAATAAGGAGAAGAGGGGGGAGAGGGCAGTGAGAGTTGGCAGAGGTGAGGGAGAGGGAGGAAAGTGTGCAGCGAGGGAGGTGAGGGAGGGGGCTGTGAGAGGAAGGAGTGGTGAGGGAGAGAGGGGTGAGAGTAGAGGTCAGACAGGAGCTCCTTTTCTCCCCTCAGGATACGTCACTTCCACCCACACACCTGACCCTCGTCTAAAACTTACCTCCATACCTGCTAATTAAGGTACACACGAAGGTAAGACTGGAGAGGTGAAGTGAAGCGATGAGAGGAGGGAAGAAATGGGAAAATGAAGGAATGGGAGAAGGGAAGAAATAAGAGAAGGGAGGGAATGGGAAAAAGGAAGGATTGGGAGGAAAGAAAGAATGAGAGAAGGAAGGTGTGTGAGGAAGGATGGAATGGGAGGGGAAAAATGATTGGGCGAAAGGAATGGGAAAAGGAAAAGATTGGGAGGGAAGGAAAGGGTAAATGTAGAAATGGAAGAAGGAAAGGATTGGGGAGAAGGAAAGCATGGATGAGAGAAGGGGAGGGATAGGAGAAGGTAAGGAGAGAGAACGTTACTGGAAGGATGAGAGTATAAGAGAGAATGGAGGTGAGAGTTGAAGGAGGAGGGGAACAGAGAGGGAAAGTAAAAGAAAAGAGGTAAGGAAAGGTGGGCAGAGTAGAATAAAAGGGGGATGGAAGAGAAGGAAAGAATGATTGGAAGGGTTACTGAGATGGCGAGAGTAAAGGAGAGGAGGAGGAGGAAGGGAACGACGACGACTTAGTGTGACAGAAAAGAGAAGCACAAGATATTTAGCGAAGAAGAAGAAGAAGAAGAAGAAGAAGACAGGTAAAATGCAGCCAGGTAAATAAGTCTAAAGTACGCCTCCATATTTATCCCTACTTGACCTGACCTCCATTCTCGCTCACCTGGTTCCCTGACCTGACCTCAGAAATGGGTAACCTGTTTTTTTTTTTTTTTTGTTACCTGACCTTTGGAACTTTTCAGGCTATCTGGTTCCCTTATTTGACCTCGAAACTGGGTCATCTGGTTTTTATTTTGATTAATATCTTCAATATTAACTACTCCACACTACTCACTGATTTTTCCTCACTTCTCACTGAGCTTTCCTCACTTCTCTCCCTCACGCACACTAATCTTTTCCTCACATCTCTCCCTCACGCACACTAATCTTTCCTCCCATCTTTCTTTCGCAAAAACAAATATTTCATTACTTCTATCCCCATTAAAACCTTATCTCTCCTCTCTCCTCCTCCCTCTCCTCCTACCTGTCCTCATGCAGGTAAACATTAATTTACGCCTCACCTGTGCTCCGGAGATGATGAGTGGGTGACTAAGTGAGCGTATTCAGGTATGTTACCCTTGAGCGCCCGCTGGAACACCCGTAAACCGGCATACCAGTAAAGGATGTTGAGTGTGTGTGTGTGCGTGAGTAAAGTGGTAGAGTGCGTGAGTAAGTGGTAAATGAGTGAGTGAGTAAATATGTGCTCACTACACCCGCCCGGTGGCCACTTCCTGCTGGGGTGAAGCCGAGTCATACACTTCCGTAGGCCAGTGACTATATACTTTGATAGTGATCTTGGAGTCGAATACACACCCACACCCACACACACACTCACACACACACACACACACACACACACACACACACACACACACACACACACACACACTTATTACTTACATACTTTACTTAACTCCACACTGGATGGATAACTGAAACCTGTAAATTCTGATCTTCATTTGTTTGTGTTACTCTCAACGGTGTTAAAAAGTTGTTTAGTACTTTACTGTAAAATAGAAACACAATCTCTTTTCGAAACTAAAGAGACATAATATCTTTGTTACCACGGAGGATGATGAAAAAAAAAATAATAATTCACAAACAAGGACTAAACTATATTCCTGTACTGTACATCTTCGTAAATATGTTGTTCACGGGTTGGCTGCCCTGAAATCTCAGTTGGCCAGCCTGATAAGTGTAAACACTCCGCCATTGTTTGTTTACGTGCTGAAATTTGCCCCGCCCTCCACTGGCTCTGTTTTAACAATAACCCCACTCGTGAACCTATATATAGAGGGGACACGTAGGTCACAAACAAACACTCTCGCGCCTAAATCTTAATTTGTCTAATTTAAAACCATTGTTACGAGATCGCTAATGACTATTAAATAATGTTACTAACACTAAGTTAGTGACTGTCAATACCATGGCTTTAAATAAGACAAATTTAGATTTAGGCGCGAGATAGGTAAACACCGGTTTGGAAATAGAGTAGTGGATGAGCCGAAAAAAAGTTACCATGCTTCATCGTTAACTGGAGCACGCTGAGTACCTTCAAATACAGGTTGGACGGATAAATGAGCGACGGAGGTTGGGTGTAAGCAGAACTGCTTAGTATGGGCCAATCGGCCCGCTGCAGTTTCCTCCATTCTTATGTTCGT